TCTCAACTGCACCTTTTAAATCAAAGAAGAAGAGATCTAGGGGTCAGCAGTTCATTCTGGAGGTACAGAGAGAGCAAGCAAGCTTCAGGGGTCCATGGAGGGAAAGAGGGGAGTGTGGATAGATGGTGGAGTTGGGGGATGGGGGAAGGGAGTTGTATGTAGAGAGGTGGAGTCCATGGAAGGTTTGATGGCGAGGGGTGGGGGCTCTGCCAGATCAGCATCTGAGAGAGTTTAGGGAATTAGGTTTAGAAGTTTGAGCTGATAAAACCTTATGTGCAGAACAGAAGTGGAGGAATAAAGGGGCAGACAGGAGTGGAGACCGGAGGAGAAAGACTTGAGGGTGGAGGACTCCAGACCATTTGCTATCCTGCCTTATGGAGTTGTCCAAGTCAGTGAGACTTTGGAAACCAAAGGTATCAGATTCAGTCCATATGTTATTGTTGTCCCATTTACACTGGGTCCAGCCCTCAGCAGACAGGCATGCTAACTCCTAGAGATTGGATTTAAGCCAAGCCAAAGGTGCATCTTTAGAAATGGAGATCTGGACCCCATTTTGGTCAAGAGAAGGGTGAGGCTCATTTCCGGCATAAGTGGTCATAGCTAGAAATTGGCCTGAAGTGATAGACCAGGGGCTGGAATTTGTGTCCCCCAATTCTAGTGACCTGGCAGGCAAAGCTGAAAGCAGAAAGCTGAAGAATCCCGGGGTTCTACAGGGTCTATCTAGGGTGCCTGTAGACCGAAATGGACCTCACCGTGGAGTGTAGAGGATGGATGGGCTGCTGAGGAGAGTGATTAGTGACCTTGGCAGAGGTAGGGGAGGAGAGGGAAGAACAGGTAGGTGTGTGAGAGTGGGAACTGAATTTATCCAAATCAGTCAATAAAATCCCAGGAAAGGGACTTAGACCCCTCACAAAGGTAGAGTCTGGGAAAACCCGAAGTTTTCAGGTCACAATTGGTGCTGTTTAGCCTGTATAGTGAGCTCAGAGGATGAATGGTGGGACTCAGTGGAAGCCGAGAGAGGGGGAGGGGGAGAGAAAGTAAGCCTAGGGGACTCAAAGACCCCCAAGCCCCTCCTGGGTGCCAACACCAACGCTAGATTGGGATTGACTGAGGTGACGCGGAAAAGAAAGAAATAGGTAGGAGGAGGCCGACCTCACAGAAGCAGACTCTTCTTTAGAAGAACAGCGCAGGACAGACTGCAGGACAGACGTCTCTCTGTGGGGAAAGGAGACTCTGTGCTGAGCTCAGGAGCCCTGAGGGCTTTAAAGGTTAAAAGAGAGATTTGGGAGGAGGTGTTGAGTGTTTCATCTGTAGATCTGTTTCCTGTGGTTTCTGGTCAGTAAAAGCTGGCCTGTGTTCTTACAGATAAGCTGACTTCCTAGTTAAGAGCTTCTTTGTTTTGTGTCATTAACCCTTCAGGGAAGAAAGGGTTTCCCAGCCCAGTCCAACACCGAGAGAAGCCAAGGCAGGAACTCAAGGCAGAAATCCGGAGGCAGGAACTGACACAGAGGCCTTGGAGGAGTGCTGCTTACTGGCTTGCTCTCTAAGGCTTGCTCAGTTTACTTCCTTATAGAACCCAGGATCACCCACCTGGGGTGGCACCACTGGCAATTCACAGTGAGTTTGGCCTTTCCACATCAATCATCAATCAAGAAAATATCCAATAGGCTTGCCCACAGGCCAATCTGATGGAGGCAATTCAATAATTACTTTCTCTGTTCCCAGATGACCCTAGCTTGTGTCAAATTGACAAAAAACAAAAAACAAACAAAAAACCAGCCAGAACAGGTTCTAAGGAAAGGGCCATTACACAACCAAGTATGGGAGAGGCATGTTTAAGAGTCTTCATGGTAGCCATGTCTATATGATTTTAATGGCTCTTGAAATCACATTGTTAAAAGGGTTTCAAAGGGACTCTTTGTCAGCAATGGCATGATAGGATGGTTCCTGAGGTACATTGGGTTAGGTTAGAGCTGATAAGGTGAATATAGATCACAAAAGAATTATACACGTCTGTTTTAGTGGAAGCGTCACCCCAGTCCCTGGCATCCATGTATCTAAAGAGTCTGGAATGTCCAGGTGGGTGTTCCACCCCACGCCCCCTCCCTTGGGAGTTGCCTCCGTCCAGACTCTACCCCTGAGAAAGCCCGCCAAATGGTGACCCCTTCCTAGACAGGCTCAACACCACTCCCACAGGGTATTTAAACTGCTCCCCTCCCCCATCAGAACAAACTCAGGATTTTCTGGTCTACCTTTCCCGTCTCCTCTCTGGGGGATTGGAAAGCCATCAGTAGCATTTGTATCCATTAAACCTGAGCCTTTTTCTAATCCGGTTTGATTTGGTCTGATTCAGATTATTGTGCCAGTGGAGAGGTTTATCAGGGTGCAGAAACTTTCCAATGTCTTTTACTCTAAATGGAGTTTATAGTCTTGTGGTGACATTCCCAGGAAATTGTAGGTTTATAGCTAGGAAATAAGAAAGATCACACTTGATCATATACACTTAGACCTTAGCATGGTTTGTCTACGCCCATACCACTTATGAGTGTCAAATCTCATCTGAAATATTTCTTTTGTTTTTTGAGACAGGATCTTACTATGTAGCTCTGGCTGTCCTGGAACTTACAAGGTGGACCAGGCTGACCTTGAATTCACATAGATCCACCTGCCTCTGCCTCCTCAAGTATTGGAATTAAAAAGCATGCACTGCCATGCTTGGCTTTTTTGAAATATTTCCATATAAAAAGAAAGGCAGGCTGGGGAGATGGCTCTGTGGGCAAGGGTACTAGCTGTGTAGGCCTGGAGACACGAGTTCTAATCCTCGGGTCCCAGTGCTAAAATAAACACATTAAAGGAACATCTCATCTATGCTGGCTGACTTCAGAGTAAGTTTTGTTGACTACACTGGAATGTTTTGTTAGTTTGGTTGGTTTTGATCTTTTTGAGAAAGAGATCTCTGTTTGTAGCCCTGGCTTTCCAGGAACTTGACATTTAGATTAGTCTGGTCCTGAGTTCAGTGAACCGCCTGCCTCTGCCTCCTGAGTGCTGGGACTAAAGGTGTGCACCACCGTGCCTGTACTGCAGTTCCGGACGGGTTAGAGTAAGAGATCTCGATCACCCTGGGGAAAGGAGTTCCTTTCCCTTCCCGTGTTCCCCTGATTTCCTTTTATTGTCCTGCTTCAGGAAGACTTGGACCTGATACTGCATAAAGTTCTATTATTACCTTGATATTGATACCTAATATTACCTAATGTTGCCAGTAACACTCGAGAGAGCTGGGGCAGAGGGTGGGAAGGGCAGTCTTGGAGAGACCTGGAACTGATAATTCGTTCTCTCTCTCTCTCTCTCTCTCTCTCTCTCTCTCTCTCTCTCTCTCTCTCTCTCTCATGGTTTATGGGAGGATGAGGAGAATGTGAATGTATGATCCTTTAAGGTGATGTCTCTCACTGAACCCGACGCTGGACTGGACTGGTGGCCAGCGAGCTCCAATGACTGTGCTGTCTCCGCCCTACCCCTTAGAACAGGGCTTCTTTTTTTTCTTTCTGGTTTTTCAAGACAGGGTTTCTCTGTGTAGCTTTGGACCCTGTCCTAGAACTGGCTCTGCAGACCAGCTGGCCCAGAACTCACAGAGATCCCTCTGCCTCTGCCTCTGCTGGGATCAAAGGCTTAAAGGCATGCGCCACCACTGCCCAGTTCAACACTGGACTTTTTGAACACGGGCTCTGGAGACTTGAACAAGGACTTCATGCTCTGACCAGCCGACCATCTCCCGGAGCCCTCGTTATCATTTTTATCTCTATGGAGTTCATTTTCCAGATGGCTGGGTGCATCATGCACCCGCCTTTACAGGCCCAGACACAAAGATCTCCGGAAGAGGGAGCGGCTCCCTTGCTTGACCCCTCTCCTGCAGATCCAGGATGGAGGATGCCCGTCTAGGCTACGAGTTCACTTTACTTACACTTTACAAGTGGCTTCTTGAAACCCTGAGCTGTGGCTTTGGGTGTGTGAGGAGATAGATGGCGAGGATCTTGGGCTCCGCTGAAGAGCTGAAAAGCCTGAAAAAGACTCTCCCGGCCTTTCGTCTAGTGTCTGAATTCCAGGAAGACAAAAAACTTTGAAGGAAACACGAGCTAAGGCCAGCATTGTTCCTGGCTCATGGCCCACATCCCAGGTAGTTTTTCTTCTAAGGCGGTGAGACAGGAAGAAAAAAAAAAAAAAAAAAAAAAAAAACAGACCAGGGAGTAGACTATGCCTAAGGGGCCCCGAGAACAGGTTTTAGCATATTAGGCATCAGGAGGAGGAATGGCTTCAGGCCCTGCCGTGAACTAGAGGGCAAACGACTGCTGAGGGAGAAAAACCTTCCCATCCTTTTATGGTTAGTAGCAGAGCACCTACAAATTAAGTCAATAAGAGACAAATTAGCAGGAGAGGTTTATTCACCTGCGTGACCAGGTGGTTAGCATCTGGGGCTTCGGGGCTGGAGAGATGGCTTAGTGGTTAAGAGCACTGATCGCTTTTCCAGAGGAGCCATGTTTGAGTGCCAGCACCCACATGGCAGTTTAGAGCCATCTGCAACATGGTGCCCTCCCTCTTCTGACCTCCACAGGCACACATGTGGTGCCCAGACTTACACGTAAGCAAAAGACTCACATACACAAAATACAATAATAAAATAATTATAAAAAAAAAGAATCTGGGGCTTACATGCTGCTATGATTTTTAGCATATCACCTCAAAGCATATGCCAGAAACTCAACTGCTGATGCAGCAGTGTTGGGGAGTGGGATCCGATGGGTTTGCTCGCACCCCTAGGACATCTTCAAGGTCACGTTCTTTTTGACTGTAAAAGGGTTTGCAAATCCGTTCTTCTGTTCTCACTCTCCTCCCCGCTCCTCTTTCTCCCCACCTCCTTCCTGCCTCTCTCCTTTTCTTTCTATACATGTATCTTTATTTCTATAGCTCTGTTGCTAGCATCTTCTATCTCTCTCCAGAGCTCTCAAGTGCTTTCTGCCCGTCCACCTCCACCGTGGAATGCTGCAACGGGAGCTCTTCCCCAGCAGGACCTTGACCTGGAACTTCCCAGCTCCGGTGGTGTCAGAAAAATTGACCACACTATCTCAGTTTCTCTTCAGCAGGAAATAGACTAAGACATACTACCTCCCTTGGTAGGGGACGGGGGAGTGTAGAAGAAACAACCAGGGGTTGCCTTTAGGAAAGACAGCTGGGGCTTCTAGAAGAAGCGAGGAGGGAGGCACAGTGGGGGATGATGTTTGTCTGGACAGCATGAAAGGTCTTCAGGGCCATAAACGAACACCGGGGAGGGATCTGCCGCGGACATGCTCTTTACATCTTTCCTGGGAGCAGAGCTCCTCTCAGAATGTACCGGAGTCCTTGTCCCTCAGGACTTTCTGCTGCTCTTCAGATAAAGAAAGTCTTTCTACAGCTGGGAGATCTCAAATTTCCCGGTACCTGATTGGCCCATCGGGCATAGCGGGCGCTCCTCTGCCAGTATCTGTGAGTTAATGAATGAGTGAATGAATGAGGGAGCATGCAGGAGGTAGGTAGAGAGACCGTTGCTTGGTGACAAAGCACATGGTGGCAGATAAAGTCCAAGTTCCCGTCACTGGTGAGGGAACCCCATCGTGCTGGGTTAGTGCCTCCCCTGGCCCCGCCTGTACATTTCAGAGCTGTGCTTCCCTGGGGCTCCAGCTGTTGGTCCCTAAGGGGCCCAAGGCCAGAGCTAGGCTGCAGTAGGTTTAGATGGAGATGTCTGACCTTTGAAGTCTGCAGTGCAGTTCACCCACCAGCTCTGATTCTTTTGGGAGGGACAGAACTGGAAAGCAAGCATTGGACCAGGTCCTCCTGGGGCCGCTAGCTTGGGAAAGGGGCAGGAAGCAGGCAAAAGAAGATATAGTTCTCCAGCAGGTCTGGGGGGGGGGGCTTTGCACCAAAAGACTCCTGCACCCTCCCAGCGAGCGAGTGAGGAGGAGGAACTGGAGAGGCTGCTTGCTGGCTGGGTCAGTGAGTGAATGAGGGTCAGTCAGTTAGTCAGTTAGCAGCAGCTGTTCAGGACCTGTGCTCCACTGTCCACCTCAACCCTGCCCAGGCTGGGTTCTTTTTGAAGTCTCTTCCTCATGGCTTGCGAAGTCCCTGGTATTGAGTTCAAAGACAGAACACGGCGTTCTTCAGGAAGTGGCCTTTGTCTAGACCTAGGCGAGATGGGTTGTCCAGATGTCCAGCTGGCCCAGCCAGAACAGTGCCAGGCAGAACTTTATTAAAAAATAGATCCTCCTAGGACATTTCTTCCATCTTCATCCACTCTGTAGAGTTAATAGGTGAGCATCTTAGCTGGACTAGTACCTTCCCCTTTTCTCAGCAGATGCAGACTTAGAGAATTCTGCTTGGCCAACGGAAGGCTGGAAGGAGGAGAAGACGAAACACCACCCTCTTCTCTTTTTGAGATAGCGTTTGTCTCTATGTAGCCCTGTCTGATCTGGAACTCAGTGTAGACCAGGCCGTTCTTAACCTCATGGCAATCCTGTCTTTATATCCTGAGTGCTGGGATTACAGGTATGTACCTTCCTGCCAAACTGAGGAGGCAATTTAAAAAATTGTGTGTGTGTGTGTGTGTGTTCATGAGTGTGCAGTGTGTGCGTGTGCACACGTTTGTGGGTGTGTGTGCTTGGTGCACTTGAGAGGGTAGAGGCATCAAATTCCTTTGGAACTGAAGTTGAAATACACAGTTGTGAGCTGTCTATATGGGTTCCGGGAATCGAACTCAAGTCCCCTGTGGGAGTAGTGCATACACTTAATTGCTCAACTGTCTCTGCAGCCCCAGGGAATCAAGGTCTGAGGAAATAAAGTAAGTCTGCTCAGCAGCTCGGCACCGTCATTGGCCAGATAACATGGCAATTTGGACCCGGAGTCCAAATTCAGGTTTCAAGCTCCCAGATCTCTCTTTAATTGTTCCTGGATGCCCGTTGCAGAATGGCAGACTCAGGAGTGAGAAAACCCTTTTGGGTTCCTCTCCTGGGTAAGCCAGCAGCCGCTGGCTGGTTCCAGTGTTCCTCTGCCAGACATTGAGAGGAAGAAATTAGTCAAGACCAGAAGGAGCATCTATAGTCGTTCTGGGTGGGACAGCGGTCAACAGAATCCTGCCGGGCGATATGGAAAAATCCCACAAAGACAGCTCAGAAGCGGGCGCGTTTCAGCGAGAAAACATTTCTCCATTTTTAAACTGAAGGCATATGTTTATTCCCCGGCACTGGCCTCTGGACCTTGGCCTCTGGCTTAGAAACAAAAGGAGGTTGTTTGGTCCCTGGGCCTGCGTTTGCTCACAGGCTATGATGTGTGCCCAGAGCATCTGGTCTGGGGAGGCGGTATGCACTGGGGGTGGGGGGGCCGGGGAGCCGGTGATGAGCTCAGGGCTGTTCTACTCAAGCTGAGCCTAGGCCCGTCCTTGATAATGCTGTGGAGGGGAGGTGGAGGGGAGGTGAATGGGATCTGAAGGTCTCCTCCTTCCTCTCCACGGAGAAGAGAATATAGCCTCTGAGGTCACTTGTCCTCATGGACACACCTTCCTCACATGGGCCCATTGGTCCAGCTGTCAACACAGGGATCTCACGTCCACATCTGCGGTCAGCCTCTCACTGTATGCAAACCTTTACACCTAGGGTACATTTGTTTCTCCCTCCTTCTCTCTCTCCCTCCCTCCCTCTCTCCCTCCCTCTGTCCCTCCCTCCTTCCCTTCCTCTATCCCTCCCTCCTTCCCTCCCTCACTCCCTCCCTCCTACCCTCCCTCCTTCCCTCCCTCTGTCCCTTTCTCCCTCCATCCCTCCCCTGGCCTTCCCTCCCTTCCTCCCTCCCTCCCCCCCTTCCTCCCTCCCTCCCTCCCTCCCTCCCTCCCTCCCCCCCTTCCTCCCTCCCTCTGAGACAGGGTGGCTACATAGACCAGGCTGACTTCAACCTCGTGATTCTCCTGTCTCAGCCTCCCCAGTGCTGGAATTCCAGGTGTCCATCACCTTGCCCAGCTACTTCTGCGTTTATATCAGCTCCGTGCCCTGGTTCTGGACCTGCTCAAGGGAACAGCAACAGCCCTTCCATTCATCCAACCCCTATCTGGGAAGGCACGGTCTTTGTACTGGCCAGCGTGCTCAGCTGTGCACAAGGAGATCACTGTTGCGGGGGAAGACCAGCAGGCAGCGGGCGGTTTATTTCGGTACGTTTCATCTGCCTCCCTGCCAAGCAGAAGCTGGGTGGCCGCCTCTGTCCCTCTCCTGCCTGACCCTACATACCCCCCTCATCAGCACAGCGTCTGGATGGTTCTAATTTTGAAACACATGTAGCATTTACTGTCTTGCTCTTTTATTTTTTTTCCACTTTTTTTTGCCAACCCTACACCTCCCCATCCTGTACCCAAGTGACCAGCCTGCCTCTCCTGGATCAATGCACTGACCTCCCTGCTAGGCTCCAGGCTTCTCTCCTGCTTCCCCAGAGTCCCCTTTCCACATTAACCAGAGGTCTCCTTTGAAACTGTGAACATTTTTTTTCTTAAGGCATTTCAGGAGATTTTTTCATTTTTATTAGCTTTTAAATCAGTATATATTAATTGTGCAAAACAAAGAATTTCCTTAGCACAGTTTCAAGTATGGGTGTATGATCGTTTAATAAAATTCACCCTCTTCCCTTCCGTTCTCCTTCTTGCCCACCCCCTTTTTCATTTTTTCCTAAGAGTCTCTCTTTTATTTTAAGACATTGATTTGTCTTTCTGACTTTAACTTGTATATACACAGAATCAAAGATCGCATACCTTTTGGTACCTGAGACAAGCCCATTGCTGAGGCAGATCCGCAGAACTAAACCAGGACTTTTTTTTTTTTTTTTGGTTTTTCGAGACAGGGTTTCTCTGTGGCTTTGGAGCCTGTCCTGGAACTAGCTCTGTAGACCAGACTGGTCTCGAACTCACAGAGATCCGCCTGCCGCTGCCTCCCGAGTGCTGGGATTAAAGGCGTGCACCACCATCGCCCGGCTTTAAACCAGGACTTCTTAACAATGTCAAAGTAAGTGAACCTGAGAAAGGGTCACAGGCCAGAGGAGACAGAAGCAAGGGAACTGTATCCTGGATGGGACCCTGGAGCAGAAGGAGCCTAGTGCAAAAGGCAGGGGCATCCTGCCAGCATGTTGTGACAGGGTCAGGGCCAGCCGGGGCTACACGGAGAGACCCTGTCTCACACAAAGCCAAACAAATGATGTGACAAAAGTAATGGCACCCAAATAAAACACAGAGGATGTCCTTGTTGCTGAAATAAAGACTATGACCAAAATGCACCAAGGGGAAGAATGGGTTCCATTCACAGGTTGCAGCTTTTCGTGGCGGGAAGATAGAGCGGGAGCCCTCCCGTATCAGTCATTGAAAGAAAATGCTTCACAGACTGGGTACCAGATGACTCTAGCTTGTGTCAAGCTGACGTGATCTAATGAGCACAGACACCATGTTGATACTGGTTTCTGAGCTGTGACAAATGTTGATATCAATGACACAGGGGCTCTGAGCCATTTGCTTGTTCACCCACTCTCTTTGTTTGTTTGGCTTGGTTTATTTCGAAACAGGGTTTCTCTCCGTAAACTGTGGAGTCTGTCCTGGAACTCTCTGTAGACCAGGCTGGCCTCGAACTCACAGAGACCCACCTGCTTCCGTCTCCTGATTGCTGGGATTAAAGGCGTGTGCCACCCATTCATGGCTGACTTCATGGTCTTTTACGAAGTTATTATTACTTTAGAAATAATATTTTGATTATTTGGGAATTTCACCTCATGCACCCCATCACACTCGCTTATCAGTCCTTCCATGCCTGCCTCTCCACCCTAACAACCGCCTCACAGTGAGATAAAGCAAACAAACGAAAATTATCATTCTTAAGCCCACTGTGTCTAATTAGTGCTGACCATGTGCAAACGGGAGTTTGCATTCACTAAGGTATGGACAGTGTAACAGAAGCTATGTCCTCACAAAAGACTTTCCCTCAGTGACCATCAACTGCCACTCACTCCTCCCCACCCATTCTGGAATTTTGACTGAGTGGATCCTGTGCAGGCTGCCACAGGGGCTGTGAGCTGACGTGAGCCTCAGACACGCCTCAGACACACCACATCCAGGAGACTGTTTCACAGTGCTCTTCTTCTCTGGTTCTTACTGTTTTTGTTTGCTTGTTTTGTTTTTTGTTTTTTTGAGACAGGGTTTCTTTGTATAGACCTGGCTGTCCTGGAACTTGCTCTGTAGATCAGGCTGGCTTCAAACTCACAGAGATCTGTTTGCCTCTGCTTCCCGAATGCTGGGATTAAAGGCATGTCCCCATCTCCACCCCCAACCACATCCTACAAGCTCTTACTGTCCATTCCTCAGTTATATTCCCTGAGCTGTCCAGGAGGTCGCTGTGGTAGTTTGAATGTAATTGGCCCCCAAAATCTCATAGGGAATAGCACAATTAGGAGATGTGGCTTTGTTGGAGTGGGTATGGTCTTGTTGGAGGAATTGTGTCACCATCGGGGTGGGCTTTAAAGGTTTCCTATGCTCAGGATACAGCCCAGTGTCTCAGTTGACTTCCTGTTGCCTGTAGGATGTAGGATTCTCAGCTACCTCTCCAATACTATGTCTGCTTGCATGCCACCATGCTCCCCACCATGATGATAATGAACTGAATCTCTGAAACGGTAAGTGAACCACCCCAATTAAACATTTTCCTTTATAAGAGTTACCGTGGTCATGGTGCCTCTTTACAGCAATAAAAGCCCTAACTAAGACAGTCACTGTAGGTGATCCATCCACCGTGAAGCATCCATTTTCAGAGGGTTTTAGGTCACAGTTTCTTGGGCATTGTTGCTTTTTGGGTTTGTGGTGAGGCAGAACTTTATGGGGAGGGGAGGAGAGCATATGTTAGAGCAAAGCTGCTCACCCTGGACCACGTGGGGAGCAGAGAGCAAGAGGAAGAGGCCACAGTTCCCAATATCCCTTTTCAACGTCATTCCCAGTGACTTAACCTCCTTCCCACCAGGCCCAGTGGCACCATAGGAGGCCCTTAACACACGGGCCTTTGGGAGATGCCATGGATATAAATGATAAAAAAATGGCTTGTCTCTCCTGTCCCAGTCATTCATCGATTCATTGACTCATTCAGTGATGTATTTGGACCCATACAGGCCCATGAATGTTTATTTTACGCTTTGGGTTACAATCCAATGATACATTATTTCCCGAGTAGGCTATGTCCTTCCAGTTTTGGTGTTTTCAGACAGGCTCTGCATACCTTTTGAATATGCCTTTGTCCTTTTGTTTATTTGCTTTGCTTTTTCTTTTGTGACAGGGTGTTATGTAACCCAGGGAAGGCTCGCCTGCTCCACTCCTGACCCTTCTACCTCCACCTCCCGAGATCATGTACCCCCATGACAGGGTCACCTGCGATTTTCAACATAGCTTCTTACTTTGAGGCATGATGAAAGCTCTGGCTCATTTACCTCCCCGCCCCCTCAAGCCCGAGCCCCAGAACTTTGAATTTCTCCAAGGATCCCTGGTTCTCTTTGTTGGAAAATGATTAGAGACCAAGTTTTGAACACTGTGGTCCTCTCTGCTGCTGGAGTGTTCCTGTCTTTAGGTTCCCCTCACAGACAGAGCTAGACAATCTACATATGTGTTCTGTGGTCATGTACATACTCATGAATATTTATGCATCATCGGCTGTATCTTCATTAAGTTAAATGTGAATTCGAAGTGAGTTCTCCAGCTAATCTAGTACTTTCTGGCTCGCTCAATCCTTCTGCTCACTTAAAACTTCCTTCTTCCGCACCCGGAAACCAGGCTCTTGTGGCCAATCATCCGTTTGCTTATTTGTTTATCTCGTTGTCGTGGTTTAAATCCAGAACATTCCCCATAGGCTTATTATTCTAGGTTTGTCTTCAGCCTGTGGCTGTAGTTGAAGATGTTGGAGTTTTTTGAGGGGCTGGGCCTGGCTGGCAGAAGTGGCTGGGTTAGGAGGGTTTGGTTCACCTCTGGTCCTAGCCACAGTCTCGAGTTCATCAAGAGTTCAGCAAGAACATCCGTCATGTGCTGCAGCTGCCACCACAGATGCAACTGCTCTGCCATGCGTCCCTCGGACCCCATGATGGACCAAAACCCTGAGCCAAAATAGCATGTTCCTCTCGTAGGTGGATTCCTGTCTAGCTGTCTAGTGTGTTTGTCATGGACGAGAAAAGTGGCTAAGGAGGCTTCTGTCTAGAGTAGTCTCTGGATTGTTAGCCTGCATCTCCATGAGAAACAACTTGGCTGACTGGAGCCTGGTGATGACACACAATCGTGTCTGTCTTTAGCTCTAGGTTTTCCTGTCGAGAGACACGGCTTTTCCAAGCTTGTTGAGCCAATTTCTTTCTCCCGCACCACTGACAGTGAGGTCACGCCGTTCAGCTGCAGCATGGGAGATTGTTTGGTCACAATTTGGAACCCCCAACATTCAGGTGGGTTTTCAAACACTTGACAACATTAAAATCGATTCATTGTGCTGTAAGATTCTCTGGGTTTTGGAAGTTGCATGGTGCCATGTGTCTATGACTTCAGTGTCACACAGAGCAATGACCTTGTCTCAAAAGTTCTCTGTGATGCATGCTGACAACCTACCATTCTTCTTCTTCGGGTCCTGGAAATGGTTGTTTTTTTTTTTTTTTTTTTTTTTTTAGACATCTATTCCTACGTATTCTAGGCTGGCCCTAAACTTTCTCTATAACCAAGAATGACTTTTTTTTATCAGGATAAAAAAGATCCTGTGTCTGTTGCCTCTGCCTCCCAAGTGCTGTGATTACAGATATGCACCAGCAAGCCTACATGACTTTTATGAGATATTGGGGGTCAAACCTAGGGCTTCGTGCGTAATGGGAAAAACTGTCAACTGAGCTATATCTCCAGTTCCCTCTCCTCCTTTTGGAGACAAGGTCTCACTATATAGGCGATGTGGGAAGTCCTTCTGTATATGGGTTGCTTTTATTGGTTAATGAATAAAGAAACTGCTTTGACCTGTGATAGGGCAGAGTAGAGCTAGGCTGGAAAATGAAAATGAATGTTGGGAGAAAGAAGGCGGAATCAAGAGAAGCCATGTAGCCTCTGCTGGGGACAAACATACCAGAACCTTGCCGGTAAGCCACAGCCATGTGGCGATACACAGATTAATAGAAATAGGTTAACCAAAGATGTAGGAGCCAGCTAGCAATACATTTAAGTGATTGGCCAAGCAGTGATTTAAATAATCCTGTGCGATTATTTCAGGAGTCTGCGCAGCCAGGAAACAAACAGCCTTCCGTCTACATGTAGGTGACCATGTAGTCTATGCTGGCCTTGAACTTGTGGCAATCATCCTACACCTCTGCCTCCCAAGAACTGGCATAACAGGTGTGAACAATCATGTTTGGGTAATTGAGTGTGTGTGCATGTATAACCCTATAGCTTTCCTTTCTCCAGAAAGAAACACAGGTAAAAATACAGAACTTATAGCCATCATTATCTGTCTTCTTTACTAAGCATAATAAATTTAAGATTATATGCTTTTTATGAATTGATAGCGTGGTCCATTTCATCACAGAATCCCAGTCACCTTTATTCCTTGTATGCTTTTACCACAGTTTATCCACTCACGCTGTGAAGAGCGTCCTGGTGGCCTCTATAGTGGGATTCTTGGGTGGGGACACAGAGGACCCTGAGGGTTAGTTCCAGGAAACACTTTATTTGGACTGGCATTGACTCAGCTGATTCATACATAGAGCCGGAGCCCAGAAGGCAGTGGGGTTTTTTTCCTTAATACTGTAACACATCTTCATTGGCTATTTTGGGGCTCTAAGGTTTCAACACTTAGGCTACATGACTGTAACAGGGTTGCCCCTGAAGCAGCAGAAACATGACAGGGATGGCTGACTCTGAGGGCACAGGGATGTGATAAGGATGCGCAAGGAACATTGACAGTGGTTAAGCCATGCTGTCTCTCCTTTGTTCTGAGAGGACCCTAACCACATTTCTGGGTTTTGGTAACTATGCTGTAGATGTTTGTTTATATGTTTTTGTGTTAAAATAAACTTCAGCTTACTTGGGCAAATGGCAACTTGGAATTGTTCCTGAATCACATGGAAAATCCGTGGTTGGTTTATAAGAGGCTGACAAACCGTCTTTCAGAATGTCTGTACCGTTTTGCATTCTCTCAAGTTTATGAATGGAACTCCCCACCGTCAGCCTTGCTGTCACGTGGTATGGTCAAGTTAATTTTGTTTGTTTGTTTTGTTTTTCATTCCAATAGATATGTTCTGATGTGTGTGCATGTGTGTGCGCAGTGTGTGTGTGTGTGTGTGTGTGTGTGTGTGTGTGTGTGTGTGTAGGCTAGTGGGCAATATCTGATGTCTTTATTTTTATTTTTATTTTTTTTTTGATTTTCGAGATAGGGTTTCTCTGTAGCTTTTGGTTCCTGTCCTGGAACTAGCCCTTGTAGACCAGGCTGGCCTCGAACTCACAGAGATCTGCCTGCCTCTGCCTCCCGAGTGCTGGGATTAAAGGCGTGCGCCACATCGCCCAGCTTGTCTTCCTTATTTTTTGAGACAGGGTGTTGACAAAGATTTCTGTCATGCCCTGTCTTGCAGTTGTTCAGTCCCAAAGAAATACACAGAGGTCTATGCTAATTATAAACTGGTTGGCCTATTAGCTCAGGCTTCTTATTAACTTTTTCTTACATCATACATTAACCCATTATTCTTGTCTGTGCTAGCCATGAGGCTCGGTATTTTTCTAAGTGTGCTGTTTGGGAATCTTAGAGCATTTGGACTCCAGATTGCCAGTTCTCAGGTAGAAAGATCTATACCTTGTCTCCCCTTTCATAGCTATGCCGTGGTCCCTCACAACAAGTTTGTTCAGCTGTCTGCCTCTAGGCTTTTGGGACTGTAATCAATTTTTCAAAGCCACAAACAGTGGTATTATATACCTCTTTTATATTGGGTCAGGTGTGGTGGTGTATGTCTTTGCTTCCAGCACTCAGGGAGCAGAGGCAGGAGGATGTCTGTGAGTTCAAGGTCACCCTGGTCCACAAAATGAATTCCAGGGCAACTAGGTCTACACAGTGAGACTTTGCTTTAAGAAAGAATTTTTTTTTTGGTTTTTCGAGACAGGGTTTCTCTGTGGCTTTGGAGCCTGTCCTGGAACTAGCTCTGTAGACCAGGCTGGTCTCGAACTCACAGAGATCCACCTGCTTCTGCCTCTTGAAGGTTTACAGACTTCCTGCTTACACCAGCATGGGAATACCCGTGGACAACCTAATCAAATCTTGCAATACTGATGTCCCGATGTTAGAGACAAGAAGTTCTCGAGCCGGGCGGTGGTGGCGCACGCCTTTAATCCCAGCACTTGGGAGGCAGAGGCAGGCGGATTTCTGTGAGTTCGAGACCAGCCTGGTCTACAAGAGCTAGTTCCAGGACCGGCTCCAAAAACCACAGAGAAACCCTGTCTCGAAAATCCAAAAAAAAAAAAAAAAAAAAAAAGTTCTCATGCTGAGGAAATGCCATTCACTGGACTGTCTAAAGGTCAGATTATACAAGAAACCCCCTTCCTTCCACTGCCCTCCCTTTTCTTGCTATCAGCTCTGGATCCCAAGGCCAAGGTCTGTCCTCTCCCAGTGAGTCTGTCTACTGGTCCTAACATTTGTGGAGTTGCTTTTAGAAAAATGCCCATGCTCAGGCTGTGCCCAGGGATTTTTAATGTAATTGCTCTAGGGGAGGAGCCTGGCCGTGGATGGTTTAAACACAACCCTTAATGCTCCCGGTTACTGCGCTGACCACGTGCTCAGTGAGTGTTTGCTGAATGACTCAGATGAGTCTGAAGGAGATAAATGGGCATGACTGTAGCAAGAGGTCGGCAGAAAGCTGGGGAAGGTCGTGAGGAGCCCCTTCTCTGTAGGAAAAAGGACATTCACTGGCCAGGGCGCCTGCTACAGCTGAGGATGACCTTGGACTCTCTTCATAACTGACTTGGGGTTAGGCTCGGTGTCCCCAGCACTCAGAAGGCAGGCACGTTTAAAACAAGTTCCAGTCTAACCTGAACTACACAGTGATTTGAAGGCCAACCTGGACTGCAGAGAGTTCAACATACAAAACACAACACAACAAAACAAAGCCAGACTGTGGCAGGAGCCTGCTTTCTAGGCTGAAACTGGAACCGGCTTGCTTTTGGGTTGTGCTGATGGACTTCTTCATCTTTAGGCGGTTCTCAACGTGGTCCTTGGATCTCTGCAGTAGAGGGAGGCTTTTTCATGCAGCACAGACCAAGCACTTGTCTTGGCTACTTCTTCTCTCGCTTAAAGAAGACTGAGCCCAATTTGGTTAAGAGCTCCCGATGGGTCTAGCCCACTGGTTTGATTTGCAACACGTGGATGTTAAGCTGTTAAATTTCTTTTGTGTGTGGTACTAGGAATCTGACCCGGAGCCTTGTGCATGCTAGGACCGCACTCTGCCGCTGCTGCACACTCCCGGCCCGCTATGGAGCGTTTTAAAACGCCTATGGTAAAAAAACCAAAACCAAAACCAAACAAACAAAACCGAAGCTGGGCGGTGCTGGCGTGTGCCTTTAATCCCAGCACTCTGAAGGCAGAAACAGGTGAATCTCTTGAGTTCAAGGCCAGTCTGGTCTTCTGAACGAGTTCCAGGACAGGTCCCAAAGATACAAAGAAACCGTCTCGAAAAACCAAAAAAAAAAAAAAAAAA